CACACACACACACACACACACACACACATGCACACGCCCCCCAAAAAACACACACACACAGACACAAATACACACTCACAGGTACACACACGTTCAAGCATGATTGTGAGCGATGGTTTATATATATAGCTAATTAATGTCAAAATCGCTTTTTAATTTTTTTTTTGAATTTTTGTGTGTAATTGTTTTGCGGTGCTCACAACCGCATAAGGTCATAATAGCGCACGGGACACATTAAACATTTTCAGTTGGTAGAAAAGTTTGAATTTTGCCCGGGTGGCGGCCGGAGCCTATTCGTATCGATTTTGGACCACTAATGGATCTTTAACGTGCGCAACTTGCACACGGAACCTCCAAGATTTTTCGCCTTTGTCGGAGAAGGCTAGGCAGATCTTTCATAAGATCAGGGGTGTGGCAGTAAGAAGGAGCCAAGGAGTAGCAGTAGAAAGGCCGCAGAAAGAGTCAGGATCCCAGAGGAGGGGAGAGGGTGGGGGCAGAAATTGGAAACGAAAGCAAACTACAGAACATTGTCAGAAAGTGGGAACGGATGTGAAGGAAGAACATTTTACTAAAACAAAATTCCCGGTTGCTATCCGAAGGCGAACCCGAGACCTAATGAACGAGAGGTGAACACCTTAAGCTCTAGACCCCAAGAACCCCCCCCCCCTTCCCCTTTTTCCCTTTTCAAGTTTAACAAATGAACTTACTTAATTCGCATCCTATAACTCAGTTAATGTCCTGTACAAGTGTACGTGGGTCCAACTTCCAAAGTTGAGTCGTGAAGTATACTTGTGTTAGTGATCTTTTAAAACTCTCTACAACATTGCTCCGAGCTATCTGCAAACGAACTTTTCTTTTTACTACGAGGCTCTCCGATTTAAAAAAAAATAGTTTCAACGTTCTAATTCATGACCAAACATTGGGAATGAGAATAATAATTTTATGTAGAATTGAACCAGTGCTTTCAAAAACTAACTAAAAGAGGTCTACAAATAATCTAAATTAATGGATTTTGAAAATACCCCTGCCAGCAGCCATTCCTCGTCCAAAGATTGGGTTAGAAGGAGCTGTCTTTGGGCCAGAGTTCGTTTTCGTGGCGGTCTGGATTGAGGCAGGAGGGGCAGTGGTGTCTGTGGACAAAGAGTTGTAGCAGTGAGATGGTAGCACCTCATGTTCTAATTAGAAAAATGTGGGACAACTTCAGAAAGGGTAACACTTCATGTTCTAGTTAGAAAACTGGGGACAACTTCAGAAAGGGTAGCACCTCATTTTCTAGTTAGAAAACTGGGGACAACTTCAGAAAGGGTAACACCTCATGTTCTAGTTAGAAAACTGGGGACAACTTCATGAAGAAAGGGCAGCACCTCATGTTCTAGTTAGAAAACTGAGGACAACCTCAGAACACATGTTGGGATTTCGCCTTATGGTTCAGATTGTGTACGTCCTCCAATACGCTACTCAGCTTCTTTGAGTTTGCAATGATTCCCTTAGCTGTTACATGTATCTCAAAGTATCAATACTTTCATATTATCCCCCCCCCTCCCTCCCCACCTTTTCTCCACCTTTTCTCCCACTTCTCACTATCCTCCCATTGTTTGCTACATAGCAGTCCGACTGATACAGATATAATATTATTGTTACTGTGTTTCTCTTATAAAACAACAACAACAACAACAGCAACTACTACTACTACTACTACTACTACTACTACTACTACTACTACTACTACTACTATTACTACTACTGCTACTGCTGCTGCTGCTGCTATTACTACTACTACTACTACTACTACTACTATTGCTGCGGTTGCTGCTCGCAAAAAAAAGAAA